TGGTCACATGATATATCGCAAGGCAAATACACGAAATGTGCAGAAATAAGGAGATGACACGAAATTTTTTCTAAATAATCCCTTACACAACGCTTTACTGCAAAAAAAGATGCAAAGAAATGCATAAAATGATATTCCTAATTAAACATAGATTCCTCGCAGGGCAAATGAAGATTTTTAGAATCCTAATATAAGTCACTTTTGGGCATCAGCTTGCCTCAGCTCGAAACGTCGCGAGATACTACTAATGTTATCTTATGTTTTACGTGCACTTGTTTTGGGACCTTACTTCACGACTGTGTTCTTTATCAGTCATGTGCTGCAACATTTCATTAGGCTGCCGTATATCATCGCGAGACTGCTATAAATACTACACAACTTTACACCTTGGACGTCTACTGCTAGTGTTGCGAACGTCGCACTTCACCAGAAAGCTGAAGTATTTAACATGGTTTGCACGTGACGTAATCGCACTAGATACTGGTTGTCATTGCAAGTTTTTCTTGCTGAGAATATCAAACCCGATGGGGCAAAATGCACGCTGCAAACTTTTCGCGCTCAGTGCAAGCTATGTATTTGAGAGGCACACATTTTTCTTGTTGGTGCATCGTCGTTAGACACGGCGCGAGTATCTGGCGCGGCGAAAACGTTCTTTCTGGCAAGAGTGTTTTTACAAATAAAAGTTGTACCAACTGTACCCATCTGTCACTATCGTTTCCAGGCCACGCTTTCTAGTCTGCGCCGAAAGTGCGCGGTAGAGGAATCTTTACGACACAGAATGCTTTAAAACTACCCCCCTCCCCACTCCCTTTTTTTTAGTTGCTCCTCAAGATACTTTTTATTCCTCAGGGGTTGCCTGCTCCGTATTGAGTGGTGTTCACTCGACAATTATATCTGTGTCACTCGTTAACAGTAATACTTCCTTGCTTTTATTTTGCACCAAACTGTGAAGGTTAAACAAAATACAGGGCGGTCGAAACTTGGAGAACTTGAGAACGACACTCCTGTGAGACTTAGAGCGGCTGCCAACGTTTGGCTATCCCCGTGAGACCACTAGGATCTTTCTTTTCAGCTATCCCTCTCGTACACACTAATAGTTTCATGTAACGTCGGTCTAATACGTCACATTTAGACCCTTTAACACTTCTATTCTCGGTACAACTTTCTGAGGCAGTTCAGCAATTACGAAAACATGTTTGGGAGCCTCAATGGTGTGCATACATGTAAAATGGGCCGTGCAGCATTTTTTTTACCTTCAGTTCAATAAATACTGCCAAGTTGTAATCCCTGACGTTGATAACTTGCAAAAGCATCCATTAGTTTGTTCCTCCGAGAAATGAGAGACAGTCGAAAGAAAGAAATGAAACAGCTTTCCCCTCCTCAACTCGCAATTAGAACTATCAGCCACGTGATCTGATCCTAATATATGCACCTTCAGTGTTTATCATAATCATAAGCAGGGTTGGCAAAGCGAAGCATGGGCTAATCTTCAGATATAGTTTTAGTTGGGCTATAATGGGGCCCGAGCCCCACTAAAGCGACAAACAGAAACAAACGACAGCGGCTAGTCTTAAACCAGAGTATTTCGCGATTTGACAGGCTTTGTAGAATAAAGAAGGCTATGCTCAAACACGAGTATCATGCACACGATGGTACCATTTGCAGCCTTGTAAACACTCCTGCTAACTTCGCGAGCACCGAACAGCTCAAAGCCGTATAAAGGTACCATCGCGAACATGCTGCATGTGTCTGAGGCTTGTCGCTTTCGTTTGCTTCTGCTTCTAGCTCTAGTGGGACTCGGGCCCATCATAATCTTTGAGTTGAACACGAGCCGTTACCCGAATGTTTGGCGATACGGGTTGTCATGAACCAGAGCATTTGACTCGGGATCATGACAATCGGGTACATCATGGTGTCACGGGACTCTCAGTGCGAAGTTGTGATGTCATGTGACGTCACGGTATCAACAACGTTAATAGATCTAGCGACGTCCTCAATTTGAATCGACTTTACGCGGTGAGTCACGTGACGTCACGGGGTCACGTGATGTGACATTACTTGACAGCATGTCTTGAGATTATGACGTCACGTGACGATGTGACACATGGCTATTCATAGTGCCAATAAGAAAGCGCCGCAAAAAACCAGGATTTATTATACACTGGAATTCTGTATATGACGATTTGATCAATACTTAGAGGAATTCACGTGCCAATTTTTTATTCCCAAATAATAAATTTGTAATACTAACAAAAAAAAATTACCGTGAACCGTTTTGAACCGGTTACCGTTATATTTTTTTCCGGTTCCGTTCCGGTTCAGTTCCAAGATGGCGGCGAAGATTTCGGTTCGGTTCAGTTCCGGTTCGGCTAAAAATAACGGTTCTGTTCCGGTTTTCGGTTCGGTTCGGTTCCGGTTCGACACCCTGGTTGAAATACACCCACCTTCGAAGCATCAACACTCGGTGGGTAAAGAGGGTGAACCAGCTCACGGAGCGATATGACGTGCCACGGGTGCTGCTGTAAGAGGTCGAATCTCAGGGGACGGCAAAACGGGTCCGGGAATACGTGAAGGAGACAGCAACGACCAGATATGTCAACGCGGTCGGTGCACGGCCGTCCTTCGCCGTCTACAGTGCGGAGAAGAAGATCATCGTGCGCGAGGAATTCGTCGAAAACCCGAGGGGCAGTGCTCTGCTGTGCGAGGCACGAAGTGGAGTGTTGAGGACACGCCACCTGAGGTCCAAGTGCACGCCGGGGATGGACGGTACGTGCCAGCTATGCGGCCAGCAGGGGGAGACAGCCGAACATGTCATAATGGGGTGATGGAGTGCCGAGAGCTGAGGCCGCCAATGCTAGCAGGTTTGATGGACTATGGGATTGCACTGGGGCTGAGGAGGTTGGGACCGACACCGTCGACAGGGCAGGACCAGACGACGCAGACGACGCAGACGACACAGACAATGTGTGTCGATGAAGAAGGTCGGGACCGTGGTGGCCAGCGCGGCCAGCGAGACGATGCCTGCGTCCTCAGGGTGGTTGAAATCACAAAGCGAAAATTGGAGGACTGGGGGGGGGGGGGGGGGGGGGGGGGGCGTGACGAGGGCGGGGGGCCATGGCAATCGAACGTAACTTTTTTATGCTTTTTTGGGGGCTAAATCCAGTTTTGTTTAACCTCTGAACAAAAATGTCCTATGGTCGGCTATAGAAAATTCTTTGTATGGTCGGATTTAGCTATTTGGCCCAATTAGCTAAAAAAATTTTCTATGGCTTTCTTTAGCATTTTTTTTATGGTCGCCTTTATGAGCCTCTTCTACTTTGTCTATAACCCTATCGCTGTCAAGCTATAGCGCTCTTTAGCTTTTCTAATGGTTCGAGTTAAAGACTTCTCTATGGCTTAACCTATTACTCTCTTTAGACAGCAAACTCTAAAAAAAAATATTTCCTTCAAGTTCCCCCGACTTGTGAAAGCTGCATGGTAGATATACATACACCTCTAAACACACAGAACACAAGCAGAACACTACCCCACACAACAGCAACAACACAGCGACATCGCACTCGCACCCCCACCCCTCTCTACATATGCTATGTTCGCACTAGCTGTATATATGGCAGTCTAATTTTTGAATCCGACTTTGCCGGTGAACCATCATTTGTCACAAAAACACGGAGAGGCGGAGCAAATATTACTCGCACTTAATACATTATTTGAATTGTCTCTTAGAATAGCCCCCATCTCTTAATTCAACACACTGAGCAAAGGAAATGTAGATAATTAGGCTAATTAACTAAAATTTATTAATTATCTTTTTAATAATTCTGATGAATCGTGTTGACAATGAAGTGTTGAAAAGCAGTACACTGGTGGTGAAAATTGCAATCAAGCTATTGCTTGATTACAGTGTAATCGATTTTCAGTTTTGGTGGGGGTAACAATTAATTCTAATTGTTGCACAACTATTTCAATGGATTTTCCAAGCAAAACAAAATTAATGGTTTTCAAGACTCGTTGCAACAGCAGAGAACATAACCTGGGTCATGCTTTTTCACCGGTATCACAGAAATTTAGTATTGCTTTAATTTTCTAACCTGTAGCGTTTTACCTATAAAAAGTAGGTACCGGGAGTGATAAAAGACCCTCGAACCATGACTTGGGTATCACAGCAGACGACTAAAATGATACTGTCTTCGGTGATATAATGCGACCACTTGAAAACATCAAGTTGCCCAAGTCAAAAAGTTCAAAAGACCGTGTTGGGAGTTTTAGTAGATCGTTTAGCAGACCGCCGCTGCCGCCGCGAGCATGTAAGAGGAATATTTAGACTCGTTGCCATAAAATTTTCAATGGACGGGTAAAGAAAATGTATTGGTTCCCAGTCTTTAGACGCGGGGCCATAATTTTTTTTTTTATAGGCGGGTAAAGAGGATTTATTGCTTCCCTGTCTTTAGAGTCAGGACCATAGAATTTCTTATAGGCGGATAAAGACAATTTATTAATCTACAGTCTTTAAACTCGTGGCCATAGACTTTTCTATAGCTGGCTGTAGCTGTATTTATGGATTTCTACGGCCGACTATAGAAGGCCATAGGGGATGATAGCATGCCACAGAATGTTCCATAGACGACCCTAGACCATCTTTGTAAGGGGATACGCTTGTGCAGCAGGCGGAAGACTGGCAATGTGAAAACGCACACGAGAGCTTTGACTTTATCGCGAATAGCAAATAACAAACGTAAACAACTGTACAAAAAAAAAAAAGCATCAACATAAAATATGAGAAAAAGAATATCCGCACTTCGTCAGCTTTCAGCGAGGGTTCGGATCCAATGCCACATGCTTCGTGCCCAAGGAACGGCGTTCGCTATGTTGCCTCATCAATTTTTGAAAAGAGTCTGTCGTAGCAACCAACCAATCAGTCAACAGGTGTGGTTGTCAACACGTACCTGTGCGGATAATTGTTTTAACATTCTTTTTCTCGTCTCGCTCTTTTGCAATAGATTATTCGCAGAAGTTCCATCCTTGGTGGAATAAAGGCAGTAAGTACGAATCTCCAGCCCTTCATTTCCTAATATAACGTTGAAAAAAAAAAAAAAAAGAGAAAAACTTAGGTTTCGCGTACAATAGAGCGGCTCCGGTAAATCCTACGCTGTAAGAAATGCCAAACAGATCTGCGTCTGCACAAAGAAAGCTCGAACTTTCACCGAATGTGCATTGAGGTGGCACTTGAGGTGGCCCTGCTCCTTGAAACTCGTAAAGTTTCAAGGAGCAGTTCTTTTCCTGTGAAAAAAAAAAAATAAAGAGGCCAACAAAGTTGCCAAAGTCAACGGTCGACGCATGCCCCTTGCGAGCAAATTCGGCTTTTTTTTATGTCGCGTCGCTTTGCATCCTTTCAGGCGCTTTCAAAAGGGGGAGTAATGCCATGCGCGTTGCCGAGCGAGCGAGTCTGTGTCCGAATGGTTACCGTGCTTCGTTTTCGCGCGGAGGCCCCAGGATCGATTCCTGAGAACGGACGCTTCTTTTCTTTATTCTTTCAATTTAGCGTTCTCGTAAGTTCAAAAACCTTGTCGTCTGATCGAGGTACGAATGTTTTAAGGCCCATGCGCACATTCGCGTTTGAACGCGAATGTGCGTATGGGACGCTTTGAACCTTCTACGCCAAATGTTCCAGAAACCCACATGGGTACAAAAGGTACTCCGCGTGGCGGTCCGGGATCATTGTGCCCCAGCGCTCGATCCTGTTGTGTTACGCCGCCATCGTCGCCTGTGACGCTAGCCCTTTCTTCTTTCTTCTTTTTTTTTTTGGGGGGGGGGGGGGGGGGGGGCAGAATTTTGTTTTATTAAACGTTTAGTTTCCTTCAGTCATTCGTCGCCTCATCAACTCTCATTCGTGAGAATATCACACACAAAAAGAGGAGACAGAGCTGTTCCTTGTCGACGAGAGCGTTCGCCACCGCTGCCTCTGAAAACAAGGCAATAACAAGGGGAAGGGACACTGACAGGGTATTTATGCTCGCCAAGGTTCTTATGTGTTCATGACATGAGAGCCCAGCTACCCAAAACACAATCAGCGGCTCAAAATTCGTTTTGTTTTTTCCTCCCGAAAACCGATGATCCAGAACTTGCTGGATTGAGTCGCGCTCACTCTCTTCTCCGTGGTCACGGGCGTTCAGACACAAGTACCGAATATAATCGAAGTGGTGGGTCATCCGAGGCACTCACTCATTTATATAAATAAAAAAAAGTATATTATAGATTCTAAGAAGCAATTACAACGAAGGCGCGCTCTGATTTATGTAGCGCAACTGACGAGCTGGAGTCAACACGTTTCCACAGATTTTTAAAGCACACGAGTTTTGTCTTGGAATTTTAATAAAATTAGTGTCAAATCTGTCTATAACTCCTGCGGAGTGATAACTAATTGTAAAGCATGATCATAATTGAGATGACTAGAGACAAGAACATTGTCGTCCGCATATTGGAAAATTCTACAACTGGACACATATGCCACGATATACTTAATAATAGTAAAATATAATAATAATAATAACCACGCCTTTAAATTTCATAAGGTATAACTAACCACATCAACTCACATTCGGTGAGAAAGCTTTAGTTTTGTTTATTTGCAGGTGTTAATTTCCCCGACTCGTGTTCCAGTGTTAGATCCGCCGGAGTCATCTATATATATATGTGATTACTTAGTTGCTCTTTTTGTATCGTTGTATTACCGGGGCATTCGGTCAAACTTCCTCTCGGAGCCTTATAACATTGATGATAATATTGTAATTCTTTTACGACAAATGATGCGTTGAACATTGTAAACCCGGAGCGCAGGGAGACGCAGCAGAAACACTTTTGTGCTTTCGAAGGCACGCACGTAATTCAGCAACCACTGCAAGGACGATAAGATGCGCGAACATCGTACCTTCGATTCCACTTGGCCGTGTGGGGTGACCCTGGAGAGTATCTCTACGGCATGATGAAGGGCAGCGACCAAGCACTGAAGTCTATGTCTGCAAGCAACGCCATGACGCCCTCAGCGACTAGAGTTCCGTTTCAAAGCCGATTTCTTCTTTGATAGTGAACAGAAAGGTGCACGAAGCCGCGCTCCCATTGCAGTCTGGAGACACTGTGTAAGGCCTGTTTCTTCCTGTCCCCTTGGTTATTCCAAAGCTGTCTGCCGACATGTTCTCTAAATGTACGAAGCAAACATGTCTTGGAGCATCTTCGAGGCGTGGCCGGAGAGGCTTCTGTCTCCGTTGTCTTGTGTAGGATGTACGAGCGGTTGGACCGCTTCTTTACATGACGCCTATTGGGTCCCTGTGAGTTCTAAATAGAGCCCTACCAAAAGACCTAGTAGCATGTGCGGCAATTGTACCCAAACTCTGTCTTCGTTTCGACGCCTTCTCCGGGCATGACACGAGCGCGGCGTCGGCGTTCGGTACCAGCTCGGCTCGGCTCGGAAACCGAGAACGAGTGCTGCGCGTTAGCGTTCGCCAAGGATTCGGATCCGATTGCGCGCTTTATGCGCCCTAGAAATGGGTGACCGCAACAGTTGCTCGAGAAACTTTTGAAAACATTTTTTCCCCTTTAAGCTTGTCTAAAATAATTTTTTGTTCTCTTTTTATAGTTCCATACGTAAACGAAGGAAAGTTGATGGGAGGTATGTGGCTGGAGCAGCACACTGAGGATTTACGTGCTTTCGGAGAGACGGTGACGTTTAACTTCACCAACCCCGACGTTGACATGCCACTCAGGGTCAAGCCAAACGAAACTTTCAAGATAACCGCCCGAGTGTGCCGCAAGTTTTACCCCGTGAGTTCAAGTCGCAGGCTTCTCTCTGCGCTACTTGTGTCGCGAAACCGATGAGACCAAGGATAGGTAAAGTCTCGAATAAGGCCGACCCACAAACTGGCCTTCTGCCGGGCAGAACAGCGGTTCCCAGTTTCCTTCTTTCCATTCCCTCAACTCCTCTCCCAAGATGAGCGGGTCTCCGAGTTACTACTCGCAAAAAGGAGGAGAGTCTCCCTCTTTCCGGAGTGGAAAGGAGGAATTGAGGGAAAGTTTCCTTCATTCAGGCTGCTCATAGGCCACTAAGTCATTTCTTTTTCGTATTTAACTCCATACTAAGGGTTGTTCAAGCAGGGTTCTTCAGAAATTGTGAAGCGACACAAATCCATCATATGTCGCGCAACGGTCAGCTTCCATCCGTTTTCTTGTTCGTTTCGTTGTTTTTTGCTGGGGGAATGTTTTTTCTTTTTTTTTCTCACAGTTCGCTTGTGTTCTTCACGAGGGCCTGCTCTACGTACGAATTATTCGTGATATTTGCTCTTATAATCGAGCGCAGGAGAACATGCACTTACTTTTTCCTATAGAAATGCATTACCCGGAAGTCAATTTTGGACTGGTTGCTGTCTGCTTCAAAATGCAACAGTACACTAGCGCCAGTTGAACCTCTAGCGTACATTACGATAACTCTATGTGCGCAGCAAGCAGACGACGGCGTCGTCTATTCGCTGCACCTGTCAGTAGATGGCGTCACATGCACATCCCTCCTGTGTTATCTTGTTATTTGTATGATTCGAGTGTTTTTGGTGCGACGGATTGTCTGCTTCTCTGTGTACGCGTCCTCTCCGCAGATGGATTATGTTCGTCGTGCAATGTCCTCATTTCAGTACGACTTCACGCTTAAGATCTACGTGGGTACCTGGCAGTATGCTTTCGGCTGTGCCGAGGCGCGCGTCAACGTCACAAGGGAATGGAAGAAATGCCTCAACTACGACGACTCCGAGCAACCGACCAGCACCGAGAAACCACGCGGTCGCGCCGAATTATAAGCTGCAGAGTCGCATATTATTTGCCTTTGGCCTATAATAAAAAAAAAAAAAAAAAACACAAAGGCCGTATATGCTAACTTTAAGGCCACGGTCCCACTGAATGTGGCAGTTTAGGTACTTTTTGGCAGGTCATTGCTCATCTCCTTTTGAATACTGTTTTGTGGGATTGGTGTCATTCGAAAGACAATGCAATCTTCTTTCATTTGATATTATGTGTGTTGGTTTTTACTGTTCATGCGCATTTGTAGCGTTGCGAATATGATGGCGCGGACCCTCACTTGCTCCGCTAGTTCATGTTTTCTGAACGATCCATTAAAGATAACACGGTTCCAGTATAGCAGTTTTGTTAAGATGACGTCGGAGCAGAATGTAACGATACACTTTTTTGGTATTTGCAATACTTTTTTTTTTTTTCATCCCTCCAAATATTGCCCTAAAATTGACATTTTTCAGCACAAATATGTTTTTAATGACAAGCGCTAGGACAATGAAATTAGCCACAAATGTAGTGCTTATAATTGGTAATATGCAGAAAAAAACTTAATGCTGTGTAAAATTTTTTTGTTTAGATATTTTATATCAAACGTGGCACTTTTTTGTGCTTCGAGTCATGGTACTTCAAATGCCGTTTAGGAAATAATTAAACTATGATAAAATATTTTATACCATTTAGAGCTACAATGGTTGCCCAAGAGGTGGACGATGGCTTTTTTTCATATTCAAAGTCATAACGTTCCAGGAGCCCTTCAAACTTACCTGTTTTTGACGCATATCTTTTTTGGACATCAAACAGAATTATTGGCATCTAATAATATTTATTGTTTTGAATAGACATAGATTCCGATGTATTAAATTTTCACAATGATCTTGCATCGGTTTTTAATAAGTGTAGAGCTTAGCTAATTTTAAAAACAATTAAAAACTGTTTGGGTGTTTCGTTGCGCTACCTGGCGGATGGCAGACAAACTGCTGATTTCTAATGTTCAAAAAATTTCCGAGGGCGGCGTTCGCGTCTGTATCATCATCAATCTCCGGGTCTTTTTACCTTCACATTTAAAAAATATATTGCAAGATTTACTATCGATAAATGTATGGTTTAAGTACTGGGTCAGGTTAATAAATCTAAGAAAAATAATTACACATGCGTAGCATGATATAATGTGTTCATTATTCGATATGATTGAAATCAATAAACAATAAAGACGAAGAGGAAAAGAGTACACCCGAGTTCACTTCATGCCTAGAGTCACTAAATGAGCTTTAAAGTATTGGCACTCCGTTCCCCAAAATTATTTTCGGCGCCGCCATTTTGGGTCTTGTTCAGAGCAAACGCAACTGCCGATCGTCATGATCCAAAAGTACGACTTCCTCAGCGTTAGATGCGGTGATAGGGAGCTGAGGCAATATTGCAATGTTCTGTCGCGGGTTGTTTAAACATTTGTGGGGACGGAAAAGCGTTTCCTGTGATTTTATATAAAGCTTCTGATAACTGGCCACCATGATTTTAAGCCACAATATGGCCAAGTGTCGTTACTCTGAACCGTGGCTAATTTACTGGCACAAGCGGGAACAATGAGGAAGAGGCAGGTGTCAAAAGGTAGTGGCTTGCGGAATCCACGGGGCTGACGTCATGGCCCCTCAGGTATTACAAGCCTCTCGAACAAGAACATGAATAGTGTCATTAAATAAGCTACGCTTCAGAATAGCGACACTTGGCCATATTGTGGCTTAAAATCATGGTTGCCAGTTATTTAAGGCTTTATCTGAAATCACAAGAAACGCTTTTCCGTCCTCCACTTTAAACAGTTTGCGACAAAGCAAAGCAACATTACATGAGCTTCCTAACACCGAATCTAATGCTGTGGATGTCGCACTTTTGGATCATGACGATCGGCAGTTGCGCCTGCTCTGCACAAGCACCAAAATGGCGGCGTTCACAACACTGTCGGGGAAGAGAGTGCCGATACTCTAAACGCAGCTCATTTATTCGGTCTAGTTCCCGCGAAACTCCTTTTCCCTGACTGAAACTGAAAATAAATATGAACAATACACATTATTATAGCTTATTTAGTTATAACCAACTACACATAATGAAGGAGGAAGCGGCCGGGTAGGAGAAACGCGGGTTTTATGTGCCACCGTTCTAACCGTCTCAAAAGAGAGAACACGCGAGCTTTCGCTGGTTTAAAAAAGGCATCCAAAGAAAAGAGGCGGCACGCTGTGTTCTTTGTGTTTATGCGTCTAATTGCAAATTGTTGTGTGTACGTTTTTACAGCCGGAAGTTAGACTGCCTCAGTGGGCGTCTGGTGTCTCAGTTGTAGATGAGCAATTTAGCCAGTGCCGTACAACCGCGAACCTGGGGTCTTTAACGTGCACCACGCATTAGGGATACACGACCGCACGCCGGTACAATGCTCTACCAGATTGAAACGGGCAGGGGCGGGGTGGGTTCTGCTGGTGTGCGCTAGACCATGCACTCGGCCACCGACCCTTCCCTCCCCCCCCCCCCCCCCCCCCCCCCTTGTGCGTCTAATTTATGTACAGGTATAAGTATTTGAAGATCGACGATGGACGTCGATCGTCTCGAGGTAATGTAACGTAATAACATTATATAAATAATAAATTTGTTGAAGGACTGAACGACTCAAGTTTTCAATTCTTGGATTGTAATATGGCGGTAGCCTATTGTACTTACTGTTGATGAAGAGCAATATGAGGTGACGAGGTAATGATTAAATGATGAGGCTCTATAAGGACGATGACATTAGTGGGTGCCGAACCACGACGTACAGTGCCAGACTTTTTTCAAGTATCGAGTACCCAAAGACTTTCTTCACCCGTAACATAATATGGTAGAATCAATGAGGATGCTGCTTTACAACTGTACGTGGAACGGGAAAACTGCACTGTGCACAAGTGCAGCTTATTCGTTAATATGGGGGACGGATTTCTAGCAGCCTTCCCTGATTGACTATTTGGAACAAATGGCCTCGTTGATGTAAAGTGTCCCCGTTCCAAAAGATTCTTGAAGCATACTTAAACCGCAAAGGAGTATGAGGCGAAAAATAAGAAAAAGGAGCCTGGTGTGAAAGGTCCAAATCACCACCATAGCTTCTATACTATCAAATACAAGGGCAGTTACACAATACTTAAAGAGAGTTTTGTGATTTAGTTATATTTACACTCAAGGGCATTGATATCCAACGTATTAAAAGGGATGACACCTTCTGGTCAATCAACATAGAGCCTTTTCTACTCAAGTTTTACATGGAAGGCCCGACTTCCGCTGAAATTCCTCACGTAGATGAGTTGTCCGACCGAATAAACTGTCATTACTCCCGATCTGCGAATCTCTCGACCTTCGTTCGTAGGCCATAGTATCATCAGGTCGAGGGGTGTGGCTCTTCGTCCGCCGAACATTGCCTCGGCGGGTGTTTTTACCGTGTAATATGAGACCGTCGAGTGCTGCTAGAACAAGAACCTGGCAATTCTTCACTGAACTGCTTCTTCCGTAAGCTTCAAAGGGGTTTTTTTTTCGTTTCGCACAACATCTGTTCTGCTCGCCCGTTAGTTGCAGGATGGTATGGTGCACTAATGTAATGCCTGATACCGTTTTTTTTTCTTCAAAAACTTGTTTATTTTATTTGAAGCAAGGTTTGGCGCGTTATCAGAGAAGAGTATTTTCGGTAGGCCAAAAGTAGGGTAAAAGAGACCGTAGAACGTCAATGACGTGTTTGGACGTCGTGGCAGGCATCGTGTAAACTTCCAGCCACTTAGAGTACGCATCGACCATGACTCCGCAGATGCGGATACGTTTCGCCACCCACCGACTGAATAGTGGATCGCTTTCAGTTAGTGTTCATGATGGCGTTGGACTCAAGGAAGACTTTGAGTCTTTCCAGAACATTTCTGGAACCCTATAATGTAACAACTTTTACAACATCTTCCGGACCCCGTGAAACACAATAGTTCGTGACGTTATTTTAGTCGTCATTAAAATGGTGAGGTAAGTACCGTAAATCTCGAAGCAGTTTAGTTGACGTTCGCTTCCACTGGTATCTTGGAAGACTGAGTCTACTAAGCGTTCATTCCTGCAAAAGAAATTTTCATTGATAGAATATTGACACGCCAATCAACACTTGATTCCTTCTTGGTAAGAGTTATTGCGAAGGCCCGTTACAACCGCCGAACCGCATCTCCCTATATCAGAAAACAATTTTACCCAGCCTGACATTCTCGCATACATGAGCTTGCTGGGCCACGCTACTTGAGCCAGCTGAGCACAGCTGGCAGCGGCGCTAGCAAGGCAACGAGGGGAACGTGATGCTGCTCGAGCCATCCCACTGTGAACCAATGTTCTGGCCACCCCACTAAAGCCCCTCGATGTGTTTGTGTTTGTCTTGCAAGTAGCGTCAAATGCGCCAGTGCACGAGACTCGTGTCTCGAGCGGCCCTTGGAAGCAAATGGCGGTGCAGCACTGAAATGAACGGCTCTTGGAAGCGAATGGCGGCGGAGCACCCACTCGTGACACGTGTCTCGCGCGTTCCTACAACAATGGTTGGCGGTACTTGAAAGCGTGAATTTTATCAAGGGACTTTACACCCCACGGGTGCGTGTCGCCATCTATTGGTTGAACTAACGCCTTGTTCAAGATGGCTGCCGTGGGACCGCAGCCTTAAGCAAACTCTGTCGATTTGCCAACTGCTTCATTATTTCACCTTGAACTGTGAAAGCCGCTCCGCTTCGTATACATCATACAAAAGCATAGCCTCCTCTATAGACCTTTTCTGCAAGTGCGCCGCCATCTTGAATTGACGTCACTTCCAGTATGGGTGAAAACATTGTTTTGCCTTTGCCACGCAAACAGAAGGAATTGAGGATATAAGCGTAACCGTCACACTTTCTCGTTTTGCCTCCCCTTTATTTTTTACTATTTGCAGGTTGAAACGTTGGATTATTTTTTCGTCGCCCATACCGGATACGCCTACTAGGTGGCTGGTGACGAGAGACCGTTTTATCGTGGGTAGCGCCATTTTGAGAGCGAGAGAGAAAAGGGGAAAGGGCTACCGGCGCTTTCCCCCTT